GCCTCCCAAAGTGCTGGGATTACAGATGTGAGCCACTGTGCCCAGCCAAATTTATGGTCTTTATTGTGATGTCATGCCAGCCTCTGAGAGATAAGGCTGTTTGGGAAACAAAGTCAGGAAAAACGAGCCACTATACCCATTTTATAAATGACAGGGTGGTCACTGTTTGCTCTTGCTGAAAATTTTTAGTGCTATGTGAAAAGAAAGTCACAGAGTTATCAGAACTTTGAGGCATTTGGTTGGATATGGAGTTTATTGGAATATGGATTTTCTGTTGCTTGTTTTTCTGAATCTAAGTGATAATAAAAATAATAACTAACATACATATGGCACAGTGCCAGGCACTATTCAACATGTTTTCCATCTATTGAGGTATTTAACATGCCAAGCCATCCTAGGTATACGGCGACAGTAGTCCTCCGCCTTATCTGGTTTCAGTTACCCACAGTCAACCACGGTCCGAAATATTAAGGTAGAAATTTCCAAAAATAAACAGTTTGCAAGTTTTAAATTGCATGCAGTTCTGGGTGGTGTGATGAAATCTGGTGGTGTCCCACCCAGCACGGGGACTGACCCTTTGTCGGTGCTGTCCATGCTGTGTATGCTGCTTGCCCATTAGTCACTTCGTAGCAGCTCCATTATCTGATCGAAACCGATCATATCTATGAGGTTCAGTACTGCCTGCGGTTTAAGGCATCCACTGGGGTCTTGAAACATATCCCCAGTGGATAAGGGAGAATACTGTGCCTCCTTTTTCTGGCAGAGGGTCTGAGGCACAGCAAGGTTAAGCTGCCTGTCAGTGGTCATATACCAGTAAGTGAGAAATTCAAACAAGGCACCCTGTCTCCAGAATCTACGTTCTAACCTCTTCAGTGTTAGTGGAGTCTGTTTCTCTCCAAGATCCCAGAGCACATCTTAAATAGTCTCCCTTAGAATATAAACATAACAAAGTGAAGAATTAAAGCTCAGATTTTAAAATTGCCTCACACATTGTGTGCTAAAACAAAACAAAACTGACTTTAGAGCTAACAGGAAGCATAACAAGAGGCAGTGTGTTGTCAAATCTGTAGCCCCAGACACATTGGCAGGCATAACTAAAAACTATATATTCAATGGATTAATGAACTAAAGCAAGTCAACAGTTCTCAGTAAAGAAAACTTTTAGTTATGCCTACCACTTAATCTAAAATGAATTTTTAATGTTTTCATGTTTTGCTACTCTTAAAAGTATAAGCTGAATAGCTGGGTGTGGTGGTTCACACCTGTAATCCCAGTACTTTGGGAGGCAGAGGTGGGCAGATCACTTGAGGTCAAGAGTTTGAGACCAGCCTGGCCAACATTGTGAAACCCGACTCTACCAAAGTAGCCAGGCATGGTGGCACACGCCTATAATCACAGCTACTCAGGAGGCTGAGGCATGAGAATCACTTGAACCCAGGAGGCAGAGGTTGCAGTGAGCAAAGATCGTGCCACTGCACTCCAGCCTGGGCAACAGAGTGAGACTTCATGTAAAAAAAAAAAAAAAAAAAAAGAATACATAAGCTTAAATTTAAATGTTCTGGAAAATGTACATATGAATCACAAGATAAGAGGGTGCCATATCTCATGGAAATCAAAACTTGTTGATCTGCCAATGAAGGAAAATTATACATATTTGAACACTTGAATCTGAAGTACCCAGGGATCCCAGTGTCTTTTTATATTGTTAAAATAATTAGATTTCTGTTAAGCAAATTGTTTTTTTTTTTGCCTTGTAAACAGTAGAATTTTATACAAATATAAAGTTTTGCACCTTCAAAGCTATCATTCTGATAAGACACTTATTCAATAAACAAATAATCTTAAAAATATCTTTAAAATGTACAAATATATTCACAACATAATCTGCTGATTAAGACTTCAACAAAGCTTATAGTACCTACAACAGAATTTACAGATGCCTACAACAGTTTGTAGATCGTTTAGTTTACAGTTACATCTATTGCTTTAAGAAATACCATTAATACACATGTGTAATTTACAATATCCTCATTATAGCAAGAAAAAAAATAGATTCAGAAAATAAAATGTCTTTTTAGGCATTTATTATGCCAAGTATGTAAATGATTATTCCCATTATCACATGAGAATAATGCTCTTTAGGTAAAAGATACATTTATTAGCTCAAGGTCCACTGAAGAGTTTTCTATCTAGCTATCCTTTCTGCAAAATAAATAGAACAGCAGCAATCTCTGGGTATTCCTTAAACAAACTATGATGATTCCATTTATATTAACTGGGCCTTAAGTAAGTGACTTCTTACAAATAAAAATAAAATTTTAGAAAGTAGTTATTATCATTGGCCTTAATTGTTTTCACTTGCTTGCATATGTCTAAGAAATTTCCCCTTGAAGTACATATTAAAAACTAACAATTATTTCTAACTTATACATAAGCCAAAGTGCTCACTCTTAACCATGGAAGCAAAACTTACTTCTGAAAATAATCTAAAGAAATAATTTGTAAACACATAGAGCTTTCAGACAGACTAAAAACATCCTTCTGTGTTCTGTGGATCAAAATACAAAGGTCTCTATTACCTATGTAAATGAACACTTTCACTAACTTGGGATATATTGATATAACATGGCTGTGTGCATACCTATGAAACATGTGCATACCTACACCACAGAACAAATCTTCACAACGTTTCTAGAGCCAACATATACTTTCTAGCCCCAACTGCTAGAAAGGAAATAAAAGCTTAATAAGAAAACGACTTTTTATAAATAAAGTTTTTAAGTGGAAAAACAAAGCCAACACTCCTTGTTGCAACATGGACTAAGCTCTAAAAGGTTCAGAGTCAAGAATCTCTTCGGTTGTTCCCCAATGTAACAAAGCACATAATCTTTCTCTCCTCAGGAAGTCTGATCATCTCCAGTGTTTTGTCTTAAAAACTGCTTTCCAAGATATGAAGTAGCCATGCTGGTTAAATTCTTTCTGCTGCCCACCTTACACCTGATGTAACCTTACAGGTTGGCACCCTGTAGCACCACACCCATGATAAACACCGCCAACCACTTTATTCTGAAGGAGAAGAGGGCACTAAAGGCAAATATCACCCACAGCACTGGACAGGCAATAAGTTCCAACCAAAAGATCCTTGATTCAGCCTCTGACACAGTTTTATTCTCTTGAGAGGACTCCTTTCTAGATTCAGACACCCAATGGCTCTTTCCATCTTCATCAATGTGATTCCACCAACGTAGGCCAACCATTAGTCTACCTGTGACATTCTGATTTTGGATTTTCTTAGTCTATTAGTTGTCTCCTCTTCCGCATCAAACAGTGAAACATCTTCACTGTCATCATTACTATCCTGCTGCAACATGGCGGCCCTCAGCAAATTGTTAAAGTAACTAGACATTGGAAGTAAACTGAACACAGACTTGATAAATGGGACTAGTGTGTTGGGAGAGTGCCACCTATGGGCGATGGCATGTACTACAGCACCGGTAAGCTCTGACGTATTCAGGTGTAGAAAGATGAGAGTGGTTTTAAAAAAACACATCCTAAAGGAAACAGAAGATGCCACAAAAGAAACTGAAAAATGTTAACAAATTTTAATGAAACACTAATATTGATCAAAATACAGAGGCATGGTGCTCTCAGTGTTGCTAAGAGAGCAGTTTGAAGAGACAGACTTACACACCTGAATCAAAAATTCTAGTTCTGGGACTGATAAAAGAACAAATCGATTTTTTTAAAAGTCTCTTGAATAAAAGAATAAAGTACAAAGGCATGATGTGAATAGGCACTTAGGAGCTGTTGATTTGAAGCAGTGTCAGTATTTATCCAACTTCCTTTGAGAAAGGTACACTGTGCTATAGGGGAATAGAAGATATTTGTCAGAGTTATTCATACTCCTTTAAATAATGCTAAGAAGAATGATTATTACTGTATATAAATTATATACAGCTTGTGATTTATAAGAAGAAATAAGTAGGCTGGGTGCGGTGGCTCACACCTGTAATCCCAGCACTTTGGGAGGCCGAGGCAGGTAGATCACGAGGTCAGGAGTTCAAGATCAGCCTGGCCAAGATGATGAAACCCGTCTCTACTACAAATACAAAAATTAGCCAGGTGCAGTGGTGGGCACCTGTAATCCCAGCTACTCGGGAGGCTGAGGCAGGAGAATCGCTTGAGTCTGGGAGGCGGGGAGGTTGCAATGAGCTGAGATTGCACCACTGCCACTGCACTCCAGCCTAGGCGATAGAGTCAGACTCCATCTCAAAAGAAAAAAAGATGAGTAAATGATCTGAAATGAAATCTAAATTATTTATAACTTACCTGTTTTCAGTTTTAGTTAAATTATGTAAATGTTATTTATTTTATTATTTCGTGAATACCTACTGTGTACTAGGGAAACAATTCTAGAACGCATCTAAAGTTGTATTTTAAAATTATTCCTAATTATTATGTCTTTTAAATGTGCAAATGATACCTCACTTAATAAATTCACCATTTGCTATGACAGAAAATTTTTTAATCCTTCCTAATATCTAACCTACCCAATTTTTCATATCATCTTGCAAAAGTAAAGAATTTGGACTATCTTAAAACAATTCAGCTGGTGATTTCTTCCATACCCATGCATGGCCCTTTCATGTTCCCAAAGACCTCAGGGTAAAAATTTTCATGATGTGCTTGAAGGTGTGAAGGAAGACAGGGATTTGACTCATGAACTAAACTTGCAAAAATATTGTAACTGAGCCATAGTTGCAAAAGGCCTGTCAGCAGTCATGGTATAAAGGCTTTTCCAAGAAATATGTTTCCAAAGAATGTTAATAATTGCTTTGGAACATCCTACTTGTGAAGCAATAAGTGGTCTCTGCCTTTGGTTTAGGCAATCCAGGGATCTCTTTCTGCTTTTAGTCCTGGCTCTGTGACACTGCACTGGACACATTACTTAATTTAACCTCCTTGATCCAAAGTTGAGACCTCTTTGTGAGGTTATGATAATTAATACAATGAGCTTGAAAGCATTTATCCTTTCAATCATAGATCCTTAGCATTATAATTAAAGAAACTAACCATTAGTCACCTACAATGGAAAATTAAAAGCAAACTAAAAAGATATAAAAGGCCTCCAAAATCCAGAGGCCGTCATGCGTGCACCCAGAATATCTATCCAAACAAGTAAGTGTTACGGTTCTCTGGCACCGAACTCTTGGTATCCATGGAACTGGATTGCATGGATGTTATATGAGATGGCCGGTAAGCCAATTATATTCTTCCTCATTGAAAGGATTCTTTCATTTATTTAGAAAGCTTTCTCTCACCCCTCCTAAAGAAAGGTTGAAAATACTTCTACTATCAAAGGATTATTGCGAAATAAAATTCAGTAGTGAATTCAAATTCAAAGTAGCTCTTTGATGTAATGTGATCCTTATGTTCATTTCCTCATTTGAAATCCTAGTGGTTTCCTCCATATCCATCATGGCTCTTACATGTTCATGAGGGTTAAATGTGGTAATGCATGAGAGAGGCTTGGCCTACAGTAAATGCACCATAGCCAAAGGCATTAGCAATTATTATGAATCAAATCCTGTTCTAGGAAATGAGTCAGTGTTTATCGCGTACTGCTCCCTGGTTATCCAGTGCTAGAAGTCTCTTTGAAAGGGGCCAAGAATCAAAGACAATGACAGATAGGAGGGTGTTCATGGAATACCACCGACCCAAATACCCCTGTGTACCTGCAGAGAAGCTTCACCTGTGCCCTGCCAGGCTCCTAAACTGCCAGTGTAAGTTAGGAAGTCAGAGAGAGGCTTTATGCACAGAAAGGACCATTTCTGTTGGGTTTTAATGAACATTCAGTGTACTCAATTTTTAAATGTTAAAACCTAGATATTCCTAAGAATTTGATTTCAGCTTTCAAATTTTATCATCCTATTTACAAGTCTGATAACCTTCTATAAAATAAGATCAATTTTTATTTGTCGATGGTATGTATGTCTTAAAGAATGGATTAAACTTAAAAGTTCTTTCTACAGGCCAGGCACTGTGGCTCACACTTATAATCCCTAGCACTTTGGGAGGCTGAGGTGGACAGATCACAAGGTTGGGAGCTCAAGACCAGGCTGACCAGTGTGGTGAAACCCCGCTCTACTAAAAACTACAAAAATTAGCCAGGCACATGGAGAATCGCCTGAACCCTGGAGGTGGAGGTTGCAGTGAGCCAAGATCGTACCACTGCACTCCAGCCTGGGTGACACAGCGAGACTCTGTCTCAAAAAAAAAGTTATTTCTACACATAAATTCTATTAATTGAAATTTTGAAAACCTTGGTCTCCATCTCACAATCCTAATAAGCATTTAATTAGCTCTTAAATATTTAATTAGCTCTTACAAAGCTAATAAACCAAACTTAAAATACAACAAATTGAATTCCCTTATAAATTTAAATGATTACCAACCTAATCAAATTCTCCTAATCCTCATTCTTTTATTATTATTATTATTATTATTACTTTATTTTATTTTTACATCCTTTGAAACTAATCCTCATTCTTAAAATCCAAAATCTAAATTCAGTGTTGAGTTGAAATTGCAAGGCCTGTCAGGTTCTCTGATTATTTGATTCTCTTAGGCACTAACACATGTACAATAACAAGAATAAAAAAGGCCTCTCCCTAAGATGTGTCACAGAAAGTGTTAACATTCTAAGCTTAATTAACTTCATTATTTCTGTAGCAGAATTGCCATGTTAGGCCAGCTGAGGTTAGTGGGTAAAAAAAATTCAGGACCCTGATTGCCAGTTGTCAAAGGGAGAATGAAAACCAGGCAGTGGGACCTGCATCCTACAGTAATGAGTCTGCCCTGCCCACCGTGGAATGCCGAGCACCTTCTTCCTGCTTCCATGCTAACAGGGGACCCCAGATGATCCTCATATATGCTGTTTTTATAATCAGTATATTCCATTGCAATGACTTTCAAGGGAATAATAAGACAGAACAAATAAATAGGACCTTTTATCCAACCATACATGCCCTCCCGTGGGAATCAGATACCTTCTCCTAAAAGGATATGCTCACCCCACCGAGATTCCCTACCAGATCAATGGCTGCCAGCAGGACAGGGCTTTTATGGCTGGTCAGGGCCTCTTTTATTAAACTGGAGAGGAGACACTGGATTTGTGAAAGGGCTAGATAAACAGGAATGAATGGCAGAGAAGCCAGGTACAAAAAGCAGGGACAATACATAAGAGGAAAAATACTAGAGGCTAAAATTTGGGTTTTTAAAAATATAAGCGTGTTTGGGCAGGTGCATTGGAAGGAAAGAAAGCAACGGGCAAGGAAGTCGCATTCCAGTTATGATCCGGTCATTGAAAGCAGAAGAAAAGTAAACATGCTTGCCTCAAAGTGAGGACAGTAAAAAAAAAAAAAAAAAAAAAAAACCCTGATAGAGGGGAAAACTTACTCCTTCGTTTCTTGCTAAACTGCTGAAGACAGAACTCTGGAGGAGTGTCCTGGAACAAGCTGCAGTTCCCAAACCCCAATTCCCTGGATTAGAGGTGAGTCAGCAAGAATCTGGAATGCCAGCCAGGGAGGACCAGTGGACCTTGCTAGACGGCACTGTAGCATGAACTCTCTATTTTGAAAAATGATTGAAGGTAGTGTCTCAGTGTCCTCACCAACCATTAGAGAATCATTCAAAACGAGAGGAGTTTAATTAACAGATTACTCGTTGGTGACATGAGCAGTTCTGAAATTTACTTCTTGTACATCTTGAGCCTTGGAGTGTCAGTTGTATTCACGGCATTTTTCTGAGAGCTATACTGCATGGAAGTGCTAGGAAAGTATTTGGCCACTCTCTGTTATAAAAAATACCCTGAATAGAAAATAAATTTCATGATGATAATATCACTGATGTCCTATTAAAATATTTCTAGTTTGATCCAAAGGAGAGAAATTAAGGCATGCATGTAAACAATCTGATCCTAAAAGGCAACACTTACTTTTAGTTAATAAGTGTATCAGCCTGTTTTCACTGCTATAAAGATACTACCTGAGACTGGGTGATTTGTAAAGAAGGAGGTTTAATTCACTCACAGTTCTTCATATCTGAGGAGGCCTCAGGAGACTTATAATCATGGCAGCAGGTGAAGGGGAAGCCAGGCACTTCTTACTTGGCGACAGAGCAGAAAGAGAGAAAGAGCGGGGAAGTGCCACACTTGAAGCCATCAGCTCTCCTGAGAACTCCCTCACTATCATGAGAACAGTCCCCTCCCACCAGGTCCCTTCCTCGGCATGTGGGATTACAATGGTGATGAGATTTGGGTGGGGACACAAAGTCCAGCCATATCCACAAACAATCAAGTTTATCTCAAAAGTAAAAG